TTTTTTTTTTTTTTTTTTTTTTTTCTTCCTGAAGAGTTAATGAAAATAATAATTTATAACTTAATCCTAATATAAGCCTTCTTTTTGCCCAAAGGAATACAGAGGTTATTTTTCAATGTGTGTATGTGACATACATATTACTTTAATTTTCTTTGGGTCTAATTTAAGATACTTGGTATATTGTGTAAAGAAATAATACTGGTATATTTTCTACAAAGTATGTGGGCATTTGTTAAATGTACTCTATTTAGACAGGCATGTAGAATTTAGCTGTAATTCAGTATAGAGTGTCTTGAGCTGGAAGACTGAACAAGTGCCAGAACAGTACACTCTGGTGCTAACCTTTTATTTTTCCTTACTGGCTGACTCCTCCTTGAAGCTCAGGCTCTGTAATCTACTGGCACAGAAACAAACTGTTCATCTTTTTGACAGCAGTCTTCACTACTGCATGCAGGCAAAAATGAAGATAAGGTACTTTGAAATTTGACAACTGATTGGAAGAGTTCTTCTTTAAAATGAGTCTGTTAACTTCTGATAGACCGGCAGGGCAGTGCAGCTCATCTGTACTTTCTTTTCGAAGACCAAGCCTGATATCTTGGGGAGCACAAAGATGTGCCTGAGGGCAAAATTCTCAAAACCTGCTTCCTTGGATATCAAAATTCCAGTGGCACCCATTTCAATTACCAAAACCCTTTCTCCTCTGCTTAAATCGTTCAAGCTTGGTCAACAGATACCTGGTACTTCGATATAATGGGACAAATGCATGTTAAATAAATGAAAAATAAGGTTAGAAAAACTGCTAAAATGTCATTGAATTAACTTTTATTTGTGATAAAAACATCTTTTACAATTCTACTTAAGGTTATTGAAGAATATATTTTTGCACAGAGCTCATTCTCATGGGGACTCTGAAGTCAAGTTGTCTTGCCAGTAAAGGGGCCTGCCTTCCTTGACGCCTACGAAACATATAAATCTTCAAAGTGTTAAGTCTGCTTGGTATATGTCATCATCGATACACATGCAATGAACTGTGAAGTTCATTACATAATTTGGGACTTTGCCTCATTTTGTTGTAACAGTTTACTGTGGTTTTGACCAAATACTGAAGATAGGTTATGAAAATTAAAAACATTTGAAAACATTTTCTAATTAGTACTTGCTGTTCATATTATCTAATGAGGTTTTTTTTATGAGTGGTTGTGAATTTGCAAACCTCAGTGTCTCAAATTCATTCTGTGAGGCTCATGCCTTCTCCCCCTTGTGTCCTGCTCTAGGTTGTAGGTGCTTTGGCTCTTTTTTTCCAAGCAGAACAGCTTCTCACCATGGCTAGTGCTTTATGTTGCAAGCTTTCAGATGATCCTTAACAGCAGCATGATGTCTGTCTACGCTTACAGACTTACGACCTTGTGCTGGGTTTGATACTCTGCAAGAATAAACCAGTAAACCTGTTTTAATATGCCTAGAGTTTACTGCCCTCCTGAAGTCACTCTTAATACTATATGCATTTTATGGTGGAAATGGTTTATTCTGTATGTTTATTCTGTGGGAATTCAGATATTTTGAAATTGGTTACTCTATTTTGAAAGACCCAGAGAAAAAATGAAGAAATAAGACATTTTATATTTATGTCTTACTCCATTTTTGGTTCTAGGTTGCCAGCTCCAAAATGATTCACGTAGCTGCTAGGAGCTGGGACCCACTACTATACTCAAACCTTAGCTCTCGCTTTCTCCAGTAGTGTTTGAAGCACGCTGCTGTGGGAGACATATTTCTTTACAGTGTCCATTGTCTACAGAGCTTCTCAGGCATTGGTTCAGCCTTAGGTTTTGTGCCCTCCCTCCCCTGTGGCTGACTCAGCCAGGTTCTCCTGTGGTAGTGTAACGCTGTCTGACAAAGAACAATGTTCAGACTGCTCCATTCTACTGCATGATTTTGAAAATATAGCTGGTTGTATGTAATGCTATTCCTATAAAGTTGGATGCTGTTCTTCCTAACAGATGAATGAAAAAGAGTTGCTTTGCTTTTCAGTATATGCAAGGCAATGTGTATTAACCTTTTCTATTTTTTTTTTCCTTCAGAATGATTTGTTTTACAGATATAAATCAGAATGGTCAATAATGGTTATGGGTAGCTCTGAAGTGAGACTAGATAGGATCTAAATCGACATGTCTGACAGTATGTTGGAGGAAAAGATCCCCTACATGTCTGATGCTTCAATGCTAGTGATGAAAAGTATAATGCAAATTTAATGTCTTCTATGTCTTCCATTCCATATGGATGCATAATACTGGTCTGCTTTTTGTTTAGGTCTAAGTTCCTTTTATTCTGAACTAATGAAAGGGTTAGGTGCTGGTGGACGTCTATGGGAACTTATTGAAAGGAAGCCCCAACTTCCATTCAATGGTAGGTTCTTGGTTTGTTATTGTTCATAGGTTGATTTTTCTCTTATTCATCACCAGTACTTTTGAAAGAGGTGTGTAATATGTAAAGGTAGTGCCATTTACATTCTTATGAAAGAAACTAGATACAGTGGCAATTCTTCTGACTTTTTCTAACTATGAAACAGATGATGATGATTTCCTTTTAATCAGAAGTTTTAGAAGCTGAACATTTGGTGGTTTTTTTCCTTTAAATCAGAATATTTAATAATATTTAAATACAGTAAATAAAAATATATTATACTGACAATATATTTAGAATACTTTTGGCTACTTAGGTTTTATATTCATGGAACTCCAGCTGTTGTTGGTGAAAACAAATATTTTTTTTTTTTTTTTTTCCTTTATCTAGAATCCAAACAAGAAACAAGTGCAATCCTCTGTATGCCTTTTAGATATTTTTAGGGTATTATATAGAGGAAGGACTTGCGGTGCCAGACTTCCTGTATTGCAGTAGTTTTCAGTGTTTCAGGCCATGGAATAGACTGTGCAATAACTGGAACTGAGAATAAAGACAAGTGATTACTTGGCACTTTGATAACAGTAAGGATTATGCTGCTAGCACAGGATTTAGTAAATACATTTCTTCTACCAAAGGGAGGTTTAGAGACCATTTACCTAACAAACAAGTTACAATGTGTATGTCCATGGATTAAGGTCAAGGAAGGAGTCTGAAATTATATGCTCTCGCCTTTGCAATTTCTATGCTACTACCATTAAACCAAAAACCTGGCAAAGAGTAGGGAATCCAGGAGAAAGAAAAGCAAAATAAATTATTTGCTTGAGGAACAGCAGGACTTAGTGAAATCTTGATTGCTACTGATGGGTGCCTGTGTTTCCTGTCCACAGTTACTGTTTAACCAAACATGGGCATGTGCTACTGTGTCCTGTGGCTGGTTGGGGGTTACTCGGGTGCTGCATCTGAAAAGAATTAAGGGGTTTGAATCATGTGTCTTTAGCGTGAACAAACACTACTCAGGTGTTGTTCTGGTGCAGCCAGTTTTCACAAAACTGGTAGGAACATTGTCAGTGAGATACTGTCCTTCAGGAATGCAGCACCACTGTCGAATTACTTTGCTGTGTATGGATATGTGTCGCTGGGATTTAACAGGGCTTGAAGAAATTGTTTCTTTGTCTTACCTATATTTAAGCTTTTTCTAGTACTGATAGTCTTTTAAGATGATGGCTCAAATCAAATGCTGCGCTCCAGAAAGAAGCTGGTTTTATTTAACTTTGGCAATCGTTCATTCATGATTGTTATGGTATTTCACAAGATGAAATTCTGGTTTCATTGAACTGTTGCCTAGGAGTTATGACTCTGATTGGTCTTTGAATACACTGTTGACCTGAATTTATTAAATATACTTTCCACTTAAAAAAAATAAATCTAAAAAATGGCCATTAATGCAACAAACATAGCAGCAGCTTTATTCCAGTGACATAATTGCTTAAAAGCTACAGTTAATAGGTAGTGGAGAGGGGACTGCTCGTGTCCAAAGGGGAAGGTGTTTCACGTGACTTTTGTGGTTTGGTGAAAGGGCAGCAGGTGATTTGCAATGTTTATCTTTTTGCATCTGTTCTATGGCAACAGGACTTTGGTCTTCAACAATGCCATTTTATTTCATTGCTCCTAATTGACAAAACATAAATTGTTTATAATATGTTTAAAAATTCAGATAATTATACCAGAAGTGAACACTGCTAGGTGTTAGCTAGATGCAAATTCTCCCTCTTGCTATAGGGAGCCTACAGGTTCACTACTGGTGAGCAGCTTGATATTGCATTCAGGAACAAGTGGTGTACCACACTGATTCAGTCACGGCTGAAATATAACCACTGTGGTCCTGAATTGTGGCTTGCAGCTATCCCTAGATTTAACATGGGGATAGGTATTTGTTGGATGTCTATAAATCGAGTTCTAGGAGATCTGAGCTGATTTTTTTGTTTGTTTGTTTCTGTATTTTACTCTTTGTCATACAGAAGGAATCACGTTAGGCAAAGACACATTCAGAGGTGCTTTGGAATTCAAGGACGTTGAGTTTGCATATCCAACACGTCCAGAACAATCAATTTTCAAAGATTTTAGCCTTTCCATTCCAGCTGGCTCTGTTATGGCTCTGGTTGGCTCAAGTGGTACAGGGAAATCGACTATTGTTTCCCTTCTGCTGAGGCTGTATGATCCTATCTCAGGTATGTTTTGTGTGTTGCTCTCATTCATGACAAATGATGCTTTGCATCTCAGATACACCTTATAAAAAATCAGGGTTCCTGTACTTGATGTCCTGGTGTGATTGATTACTCCCCTGATGCACCATGCTCCCCTCTGGGGTGCGTGGTTACCTTATGGTAGTGCCTGCGTAGCTTTGCATTTTTGATCCACCAGTGTGTGATTCCTCAGGGGTCGTTGTTCTCAACCGTTCTTTCTGCCTCTTTTCAGTACTTGTCAAACACACTTGACTTTACTGTTTCTTAACTTAAGGTACAATCACCGTTGATGGCTTTGATATCCGTCAGTTAAATCCACTGTGGTTCAGGACAAAGATTGGAACAGTGAGTCAGGTAAGGAAGAAAAAAATTTCTGAGTGGATGAAATTATGTTGTGTAATCAACTAGCTGTGCCTTGCGTTTCATCTTTTTAAACTAAAAATGCTATTGTGCATGCTTTACTCTGAACATAAGTGTTCAGACCTAGTGCTATTATTCTGTAGTCTGTTTTTCACATCATAGAGATTCAAAGTGTTAGCTTGAAAGAAAAGTGTGCATGTGGAGGCTGGGCAGTGCATTGTTGGAAATTGTATAGGTATGACCATCTTGATGTTTGCTATGATTTGTTGAAGAAAGTAACACAAAGCTTAAGGTTTAATTACCTTTTGTATTAAGGGAAGTTGCACAATCGTATTTTACACAGCCATTTGAGAACTGACCACCCATGCTCTGTGTTGTTTCCAATCCCATTAGGAAAGCATAAAAGTACTGCACTGTTGGTGATTACTCTTGTAGAGCCCAGTCCCTGGCAACCCCTAGAATCTGCAAGTGCAGAGAGATGTTCAATAGTCTCTTTATTTAAAAATAAACTGTTTGACCAATTAAACTATATATGATCCTTCCCTCATCTGCCCAGGTGCTTCATAGTGGAACTAACTGTTAGGTTGATGTTCTGATTAAAAGCATAAGGCTAACTGGGTATATGTTGCATTTCAAAACATCTGCTTATGTAATAATGCCACCAAAAGCTTTTGTGCAAAAATTACTTTCCTGTGGGCACAAGAGCATTTTTCTTCTTGAATGTATGTATTCCACTTGAGTAACCAGTTACAGATTCATACTGGTTTTCATACTATAGCATGTCTCTATTTTATAAACAGAGCAGACTTACCTTGCTTTGGGCATTTTCCCATTGTACATCACTTGTCCTATCTGCCAGTCCTCTTCTCTGTTTTAAGCTTGAATATAAAATAAATGCACAAAATGCTGTGAAATCTCTCTAGACATCACAAAGAGAAGAATCATCATTGTTGCAAATGACGATATGTAGTAAAGTACAAAGGGGAGGTTTTCTGATATTTGCATTAACACCTCTTTCTGAAGTCTTTCTCAGATACTAGGAATTGAGGGTTCTGTCATGTTGAAAAAACAACTTATTTTTGAATTGGTTTTGACTGCCCATTTTGGTGTTGCGAGGTTTTTTATTTGTTTGGTTTTAATTCAATTAACTCTAGCATACGTATTCTTTTGTATAGATATAAAAGAAATTAATTCTGGGTCTTTTAAGTGGGATTTATGTTATTTAAGATCTAGGTAATACATGCATGTAATTACAGAGCTAACATATTAATATTTTTTTTTTTAATTTATCAGGAACCTATTCTGTTCTCCTGTTCTATTGCTGAAAATATTGCCTATGGTGCAGAGGATCCTTCTACTGTGACTGCAGAGGAGATTGAGAAAGTTGCTGAAATAGCTAATGCTGCCAGCTTTATCAGAGATTTTCCCAAAGGGTTTGACACTGTAGTTGGAGAAAAAGGCATTCTGCTTTCAGGTACATCTTTAAATTGCTTATTTAAAAAATCCTGATATTATAGAGCGAAGTGAAAGTTCTATTATATTTTTTTTGTTACTAGTTTTTTCTCCAAGTCATAGCCTGCCATAAGTATTAAAAAAATCCCTCCTTCATCTCCATTCCCTTTCTAAAATACATGTGTCTAATTATGCTCAGCCCAGGCATTCAGTTAAAATTACTTCATATCTGTTTTCCTCTTTCAATTTACTGAGCTCTTCCCCCCAGGTGGACAGAAGCAACGAATTGCCATTGCTCGAGCTCTGCTGAAGGTAAGGCAGCACCCAAATAGCTAATCAATTGCTTTGTGGGGAGGCAGAAAAAGTTAAAAAGGAGGAGGCCTTTTAATGGGAGAAGTGGAAATGTATTTTTAAAAAAGAAAATTATATCTTTTAAATTAATGAGGAAGTTTGAAAGGGTTGAGTAGTTTAACTGAAGACCCTTTACTTATGTAAGTGCTTTTTCCTATCTTTTGGTCATGTTTTTCAATAGTTTTTGCCAAGACTGATGGTATATCATTGTATAAGGGCTCACTTTCGTAAGACAAGGTCAAGGATGAAGGAAGACTTGAAGAATGTGGTGCTAGTAAACTCATATGTGACACTTCTGTCTCTGTGTTCAGATCTTGGTCACTCCTGGGTTGATTTTTCTGGGTTGCAGCTTACCAGCACGAGAGATGCCCTGTCTTGGCTTCAAGGGGAGCTGGTCTGGATTTGGCATAAGATACTATTTCCAGCACAATCTTGTGTTGTTTGGTTGTTTTTTTGTCTTCAACGGTTGGCATGTGTCTAGCGTTAGGGCAGGCTCTATGCTGCACAAATTTGAGGAGGCTTCTGAGAATCAGAAGGATGAGGAGTTTGGTTTGGGGACAGCCACTGTATCTCACAGGGAAGCCGTTTGGGGCTGATGCTCAGCTGGAAGTTTTGAGCCTTAAGAACCCAGCTTGCATTCACATTAAGCCACATGGGTCTCTAGCATCCTAACATGTCCAGTTCTGCTAGATTCCTGGGAATTTTTCATTATATCTGTTCCTTTTTACCACAAATGTTAAAAGCTGATTGCATTTCATGTCAAGTCCAGTTGAAAAAAAAAAATTAAAAAATAAATGAATAGTATATATATATATATATATAAAAGTGATTGGGGGTGCAGCGGGGTCCCTTCTCTTCCAGATAAAGTCTGAAGTTTTTACTGTCAACTTAATCAAGCACGTTTGGATTATGTACTATAGTTGAGGCTTCATAATGACTTTATATTTAATTGGGAAGAGTTCTATGCATTTCGTCGGAGGGTGAAATAGTGCTTGTTGGTAGGTTTTTGTTATTTTTTGTTACTAGACAGTTATATATAGTAGACTGCAAGCAGAGGGTAGCTCAGCCTCCGTGAAAGATTCACATAAGAGCAGTAAAAAGTAAATTGAACTTGTGATCACAGTGTTGCTAAGTATGCATTAAAAATCATCTCCCAGCTTTAGTTTGTATCCTTTCAAACAGGGAATCTGATACATGTTCTTTCACTTTAGTTTGCAAAATTTGAAGGTGAAAAGAGTGTGTTGTTGCTCTTTTGTCCTCTTAATATTAGACTTCTAAAAATTAATGTTTTAAATGACACCCAGTTCTTTTGATGAAATAAATACACTTGGAGTTTTAAGCTGTATGAATCCTGTTCTCTACTGATATAAATATTCAGATTTTGTCTACTTATTATTATAACCAGTTTTACTTTCTTCTTCAGAATCCTAAGATTCTCCTGTTAGATGAAGCAACAAGGTAAGAAAGAAGATAAATAGAAACTTAGAAATCACCTATCTGTAAAACTCAGATATGTGAGGTCTTCTCTCTTTCTCTGCAGGCCCTCGCACAAGTTATCTAGCTCTTTTATTTTTCTCTACCCACAAAAAGAATGTGCTTTTTAGAATGTGTGAATTGGTTAGGAAACTGTGATAAAAGCTGTTTATGCAACATGGAAAGGATAACTGGTACACTGTGGTGGTAATTTTTCATGGAGTTAAATTTGCAATCTGTAACGATATTGAAACATCCACTAAAGGTTTTTTGTATCTTTAGTTTAAATTAAGATCTTAGTGTTAAAGAGATTATTATACTGCAGTGTAACTTTAATTTTTTTCACTGAATTAATTTAGTGTTATTTCTCCATGCATATGTTTGCATATGAGAATATGTAACACTTGGGTGTGTGCACTAAACATATTGACGGAGCTTTCCTGCAGTTCCATTGGTTCATCTTCACCAACAATAGCCTGGGTCTGCAGTTTTAGCAAAATAAACCAAATGCATACAAAATTAACCTGTCTTAAAATAACAAATATCCTCCTCTCTCCCCTCCCTGCTTCCTCCCTAGTGCTTTGGATGCTGAAAATGAGTATCTAGTGCAAGAAGCCCTGGACCGGCTGATGGAAGGGAGGACAGTCCTAATTATTGCTCATCGTCTCTCTACTATTCAGAATGCTGATTTTGTTGCAGTCCTTGGTCAGGGTAAAATTCTTGAATGTGGAAAACATGAGGAGCTACTTGGAAATCCAAATGGACTTTTCAGGAAACTAATGCAGAAACAAGCTTTTCTTCAGAATAGTGATACTTTTGCATTAGATTTACAATCCAGAGAAAAGGATGTATTAAAAGAAAACGTATGAGAGAAGGTATGAATAGTGGAAGCTTACAAACGACAATGCTGAAACATAAGTTATATTCTATGTAAAGTAAATGTTATATTTTTCCAAAATGTACAAAATATTCTTTTGAAACTTATATGTGTTTAAACTTTTTATTGAAAGCTTTTTAATAATTATTGCAACTTTTAAAAATGCCTATCACATTGAGATAATGTCAGTGTGTAGATTTTTCTGCTTTGTTTTATGCTAATTGAGACCATTTAGAATCTCTTTTGCTGTAATGCACTGTATGATGATGTACGGCATTCTCAAGTAAATTCAGTATTCTGTGGGTAATTAAATGACAGTCTTATCATTTTCATATCATTGTCTCTTCCCTTTTCAAAGAACTTTTGGTTTTTATGCTTTTCAGTAGTCTGAAATGCTGGAATGTAAAAGTGTGTGACACTAAGGTGCTCTGTGTGACCTCCACCGGGCTGTCCTTTCCGTTACCATTTGTTCTGAAATGGGAACGTTGATGATGATCGCCATCTACAGTGCCTGTAGAGAATTACGTATTTTGGAGAGTATGGAAGCGCGTGTTGGAGGAAAGTTCTTTAAAAAACAAACAAAAAACACCCAACAAAAAAAGCAACCAAACAAAAAAATTCTAACTGACTTTACAGAAAGACAAAGGAAGTGTATCAGTATATTAGTATATTAAGACAGCGTAGGAATATCTAAAACATGCATGCATTTTCTTCCCTTCTCTATTTTCCCAGTTCTTTAGTTTCACTTCTCTTCTAAGATGACATGCAAAAGAACATGCTTTTATATCTGTAATTTTTTGGTCCTTTAAGGCATATGTAAGGGATTTTTTATTGCTACTTAAAGTTTCATTAATAGAAATTCCAGGTTTTGCCTAACTACCTTATTAAGGACAACTAGTAAACTACCTTCTCAAGGACAGCTAGTAAAATAATAGCATTAAGTAAATCTGAATAACTGCAGAAGGGTACATTTGGCAGTAAAAAGAAGGCTTCATGTTTCTAATTTAAGAATCTCTTCCAATGGAATCTCTTGACTTTCTGAAGATGCAAAACTCCACAAGATAACTTGAAAAAGCTGGAAGCTTTCCAGGTCACATTAAAACTCATCTATGCTAGGAAAACTTGTTGCTGGAAAACTCTATTGGCAATAGGTGAGATACTTAGTGCTGGACAAACTTAAAATGTGCCCTTAATGGCACTTTGTGAACATAGCGAAAATGCTTAAGAGATCCCTGTGCTAAGGAATGAAAATAAAATTACATCCAGATGTAATTTTATCTGCTGATATAGTTCTACTAGAAGCAGATAGTGTGTTAAAGATATGCCAAAAATACCACTGACCCAATATTTAGTTTTAGTGTTGACTACCAATTATTGTCTTTGTAGGGTATTTAGAGGGACTTGAACCTCTACTCATCTTCATGAGAATCTTTACTCGTGTAATTTCTCTTTATGCAAGATGCAATGAGCCCCTTTATTCATGTGTTTACACAGGTTACAGGAGTTACTTGCAGCTGAACTGAATGAATGCTTTAAATCTTTGGTTCATTAGTTGTTCTGGCAGGTGTTGCAGTCTACAGAAAAGCATGAGAAGCTATAGAGAAGTTCTAGTCCACAGAAGGGTGAACATCTGTCATAACAGGTACATTGGATAAAAGACTTTACTCATCATTTATCAGCACTGCATGGTGTGTAATAGATAGAGAAGGCTGTATAGAAGGATACTACATTAATGTAGTAACAGAATAGTGAAGCTTCACTAAATGTTTGTATTTTGCTTTTTCTCATAAAATCAAAGCCAAAGGAGACAGAGTGAAGTTAAAAGGCAAAGCACTGAAACAGACATGCGCCGCCTCCTTCACTAAATCTACTCTTTTCCAGTTTGAAGCTGTTACCCCTCATCCTATCACTATATGCCCTTGTAAAAAGTCCTTCTCCAGCTTTCCTGTAGGCCCCCTTCAGATACTGAAAGGCTGCTGTAAGGTCTCGCAGGAACTGCCTTTTCTCCAGGCTGAACAATCCCAACTCTCAGCCTGTCTTCATAGGAGAGGTGCTCCAGCCCTCTGATCATCTTTGTGGTCCTTCTCTGGACCTACTCCAACAGGTCTACATCCTTCCTGCATCCACTCCAGAGCTGGATGCAGTACTCCAGGTGGGGTCTCACCAGAGCGGAGTAGAGGGGCACAGTCCCCTCCCTTGACCTGCTGGCCACGCTTCTTTTGATGCAGCCCAGGATATGGTTGGCTTTCCATGGCTGCAAGCACACATTGCCCACTTATGTTGAGCTTCTCATCATCACCCCAAGTCCTTCTCCTTGGGACTGCTCTCAATCTTTTCTCCAACCAGCCTGTATTTGTGCCTGGAATTGCCCCAACCCACGTACAGGACCTGTGCACTTGGCCTGGTTGAACTTCATGAGGTTCGCATGGGCCACCTGAAGCCTGTCCAGGTCCCTCTGGATGGCATCCCTTCCCTCCAGCGTGTTGATGGCACCACACAGCTTGGTGTCATCAGCAAACTTGCTGAGGGTGTACTCAATCCCACTGTGCACGTCTCCAACGAAGATGTTACACAGCATGTCCTTGAGGACCACCACTTGTCACTGTCACCGCATCGAGCCATTCACTGCAACCCTGAGGCAGGGCCGGAGCCCTGGGGCAGCCCAGGTAGAAGCGGGACGCTTCTGCGCTAACGCCCGGGCCTGTAATAACGACGAGGTGTGTATTTGGGGGCAGTTTCCCGCCGCCGGGCTGTACCGAGGGCAGCCGGGACTCCACCGGCGCCGCGCGATGGCCCTCCCTGGCCGCCACCTGCCGGAGTATTTGGGGGCAGTTTCCCGCCGCCGGGCTGTACCGAGGGCAGCCGGGACTCCACCGGCGCCGCGCGATGGCCCTCCCTGGCCGCCACCTGCCGGAGCGGGCACTGCCGCGGGGTTCCCGCCGCTCCCCGGCAGGGGCTGCGCCGCGCCCCGCCCTGCAGTGACGCCATCAGACGGCGTCCGGCGGGAAGCCTGTGCGGGCTCGCGCCTCTCCTCAGCCATGTTCGGTTCGGCCCCCGCCTCTCCCCGCACCCCCGGCGGGTCGGCCCGCAGGAACCTCGGCACCGCCGCCCCCAGCCCTCTCTCCCGCCCGGGCAGCAGGAAGAACCTGGCCGTCGTGGCGGCGGCCGGCTCGCCGGTGCTGTTCTCCCCGCTGGGGCGGAGGAGCGGCTCCCTCTCCGCCCGGTGAGTCCCTCGGCCGGGCACGGGGCAAGGCCCAGGCAGCCGCCTTCTCCCGCCGGGCCGTTACCGAGTGCCCCGGGCCCTCCTGCCCCTCGGCAGGGCTGTCTCCCCGCCCCAGCCAGTAGAGGTGGAGTCGCCTCTGGCTGCAGGGGAGGCGGGGGGATGGAGGGCAGCTGCCGGCACTTGCAGGAGTGCGCCTGTTGTGTGGGGAAAGTGCCACACACCGTGAAATTACTGAGGGTCCCAGCAGCCTGGGTCTTTGTTTGCTGAAGTAGCAGTAATTTTGAGAGCTATTAGGAAGTTAAGCTGATGATTTAAAAAAAAACTAGTAAAAAAAAGCATCATCATTTAAAAAAAAACGGAGCCAAGTGTTCCAAGTGCTTCCTTGAGTCTTACAAATGCAACCAGAACCCGGATGTAGACGCAGAGGCCTTTAGTTAAGAAAAAACATTTTACTTTACTGGAGGGGAAAAAGTGTCATTTGGTTATGTGTAGTATTTGGCAATTAGGTTATATCGATCCTGTGCCTCGATGAATTATTAAGGCATGTGTCTAAATGAGGCTAATGAGATGGCTGTGCCTGAAAGCTCTTGCTTTCAACTATCTATACAAGAAGGTTTAACAAAATATTTTGCTCCTCTTTGCAAACCTGCCTCATTTTTACGCGCTGAAGCCATTGTAGGTGACAGCATTGTTGTTTCACAAATGCAGTTTTACCATTTGTTTTTCTGTTGGAATGTATTGTAAGATACTCTGTATCTCTGATCATCCTTAAATCTCTTTTTGATAGGCATTCTACAATACTGTTTTGAGATATGTGCATGCTAGGTCATCCTAGTACTCACAAACTCTATGCAGAGCAGTTGTGATGTTTTCTGTTTTGCCTTTTATTCAGTATTTAGTAACTCAGATATTCCTTTTGCTGTTTGACTGTCCTGAATAATACTGTACTGTCAAGACACTGTTACTCTGGTAGTTGGGTTTTTTTTATGAATATGCTGAAGATTTTAGACACCAGTCAAAGCAGATTTAACATGAGCCCCAGATCAATTTCAGGGGTTCAGAATCTCTTGTCTCAGAAGCAGCTATTTGTTGTTGAGGTAAACAAGATTGCCCATTTTCAGTTTTGGGGAACTTTTAATTCAGGTCTGTTTAATATGGTATTTTTCTAACCCATGTGTCAGCACTTGTCTTCCACTGTCATCTTTTGGCATTTCACACTGGGGAGGTCTGTGACATCGTTTGATTTGTGAGGAGAAATAAAAAGAGAGCATTATTTTCTATAAGCAGAGACATTTACCCACTTGACCGTGTTCAAATGACAAGGCAGACCTATGCTGTTCCAGAGAGAGAAGGTTGGGGAAGATGCAAAGCCTTTTATAGATTATATAGTGAAACAGATAATGACTGAAACAGATAAGAACTGTAGTCCCTACAGTAAGACAAGGGCAGTAGAAGAGCTAGTTGATCCTCACGGCCACAGGTATTGGAAGTCTTGCACAGTGTGTACTGCCCAGCAGTGTTAGAACTGGAGATGGAAACAGGCCCTGCAGTCAGAGAAGAACTTTTATTGAGCTTCTCCTGGCATTGTGTATAGCTTTATTCTATAAATAACCAGAATGTAGAGAAGTTGAACAGTGATTTTCTGGCTGGGGAGGAATGCATATTCAAAATGGGTTCTTTAAAAAATCAAGGAATTTGTTGACAGCTAACAACTTGTCAGGAAGCTGCCAGATTACTGCTTTAGGTGGTGATCCCAGAGGAAGCACATTTATTTTACATAAACCAGTTTAATCTCATCTATTTCTAAACAGATACTAATGAAGTAAATGTCTGCTGAAACTGGTGAAGAAACAATAAAAAAAACCTAATTATAGCTTTTGTTTTGTTTTGTTTAAGAGCAACTCCTACCAGAGTTATTCAGCATCCCTCAGCAAGTGAGACCATTAACTATGATGTCAAGGCTTTTGGATCCTCTCTGCCTGTTAAGGTTATGGAAGCCCTTAAGAAGGCTGATGGTAAGAACTGATTTTATCTGCTTTTTTCACATGGAAATTGACAGGTGACAGAATCATTAACATGTTGTTGATTCCATTTAAATGCTGACTTTAC